TAGGTTCCTGCAGCAGGGCATTCTGTCAGCTGGCCAAGCTGGGAGGAGGATTGGAACAGCTTCCTGGGGCAGGGGCTTTGTCGGCACACGCAAAATAGTGCCAGGCATTTCAGTTCAGCGTGATAATGAGCAGTTGCAGTGATCTGAGCCTGTGAGTGGGTCTGCTGTTTCATGGGTCTGCTCTGCTGTTTCATGGGGTAGGGTTGGTGTAACTGGTGTTCTGTTGGGCATGGTGAAGGTTGAGGGGTCCACAGCAGGTGGTGGGTGGGCGCCTGCTGCTGCACTATACTCCAAGCAGCCTGACCATATCTCTCCTGCAGAATCCTTGCACCTCGGGAACCTGATTGTGAAGCATGGCTATATCTACCCTCTCAAGGATCCCCGCAACCTGGTGCTGCGAGCCGATGAGTCCCCCTACAGGTTCCAGGTAGGCCTGGTGAGGGAATCAGGGCTCCATTCCCCACCCCTCCTCATGCCCTTGAGTCAACTCCCCCATAGGTCCTGGGGGCTTGCTCCATGATGCCTCTCCTGAGCCTGAGTGCTTTCCTGGACATGCCCAAACCTGTGCCCCTAAGACAGGGAGGGCAGCAAGGTGTGGGGACCCTTATGACTGATTTTCATACCCAGGACAAGGCTGGGGCTGCTGGATCAGGCCTGCTGTTGTGGTGGGCGAGTGCTGTGATGCTTCCCAGGTCCCTTATACTGACTGCTAGGAAGTTTGTAGCTGCTTCACCCTGGCTTGGAGAGAGCAGTGAGTGAGACGTACTACCAGTGCCCTAGTGCTGGGTGCTCCCGCAGGGCCCCACCCTGCTGAGCAGGCCCAGAACTGTGGGACTGGTGCCCAGCAGGTGCTGCAGAGGCCTGAAGGACTCATGCACAAGCCCACAGTTCTGATACGTTTGAGTACCAGACGGGCCCTGTGATGCCATCTTCATGTCTGGTGTAGGCTGGGCTGGAGGCAGCAAAATGGATCTGCTTCAGGGCTTCCAGGCTGGGGCTGTCTAGCAGCTTCACTGTACCTGGTTGGGATCCCCCTTCTAACTGTGCCCACTTCCAATGAGGTCCTGCTGCATGAACTGCATTAGCAGGGCAGGACCAGTGCCCTCCTCACCCCCAGTTTCCATTCAGTGACAGCAGTGCCCCCTCTGTCTCTTTCTCCTTACAGACCCCGTACTTCTGGACCAGCACTAAGTGGCCAGCCACAGAGCTGGATTATGGTAGGTGTCATTCTGCAGCATTGGGACCTTGGCCTGTCAGTCCTGTCTGGAGCCCCCAGCAGCCCTGGCTCTCATCTGCTCTGTTTTGGCCCTGTCCCCCAACAGATTTACAGGAAAAGCCCTGAGGTGCCAGCTGCCAGTAGCTCCAACTTCACGTGGAGGCCTGAGCACTGCAGGATTCAGAGTGGTGGCTCTGAGCTCAGCTGTTTCCCCACCTGCCTGCTTTCAACACCATACTAGAAGAGCCCTTGGGCTGAACTATGCCTGTCTGCTGTTCTTCTGATTCTAAGGGCTGTTGTGTTTGGTCCCAGCTGCAGGGATCTGGGCAGAGCCCAGGGCTGGTAGCATATCTTCTGTGCCCAGCTCTGCTGGCCCAGCCAGCTTTGGACCTCCCTGCCACTCTTTACTCTCTGTGAATGGGTGTGGGTTCAAGCCCCATGGGAAGGCTGCCCCCTAACATGGGCACAGGAACATGCTGCTCCTGGCACTGCAATTATTTTGGGGGAAACTGAGACTAAAGTGCAATTAGGGCAGAGCCCAGCACCTGGCACCACCTGGCTCCATGAACAGTGACCCCCCCCGCCTCTTCCTCGCCCAAATGTCATCCAGAGCTGCCCATGCTGATGGCTCCTTTGTCTTACTGCAGCAATCTATCTAGCCAAGAAGAACATCCGCAAGCAGGGTGACCTGATCGACCATGAGAAGGTAAGATACAGGTGCTAACCACACTGCAGAGTTCCCTTGGCTCCTGGGGAGGTGGTTAGGATAGTAAAGGACCTACAAAGCAGGGGTTTGGGGGAGATGGGGGTTGGGATGAGAATACAAGAGAGCTGCAGATCAGGACTGAGGGGCATCAGCAAGGGCTGTGATCACAGTAGTGGCTACTTCAGCATTCCCAACAATGCAACCTGCTGACTCACCCTGGAACTGTCTCTGCCCATTATAGCCTGATGCCATCAGAAGGGCTGGAACAGGGAACCACTGGGCAGCCTTGACACTGCATGGGGCAGGGAGATGCTTGGGTGGAGTAAATGAGGTTTTTTCCCTCGCTGAGGTCCCCAGACTGCAGGCAGAAGCCATGACTGAGAGGTACTGACACTAGGGTGTGGGGTTGCCCTGCCTGGAATGTATCTGGCTCTGGGTAGCCAGGGGGAGAGAGGATGGGGCTGGGCGGGGACTGACTTTCCTATGCACTCGCTCCAGGACAACTACAACCTGCTGCACAAGAGGATCAACCACACCTGGGACTTTGTGGTGATGCAAGCCCGGGAGCAGCTCCGGTGAGTTCTTGCCCCAGTACCCAGCCAGGGCTCATGGGATGTAAGGGTGAGATCAGGGCCCCTCCTGTCTCCACACTTACAGCAGAAATATGCCTAGGGCTCTGGGGATTCTGCCCCATGTCGCCAAGGTGCATGTCAGGAAATATCCGAGGCTGCTGTAATGCCTGTGTGTCAGGTCACTTGATGTGCCTGCCACTTCAAGGGGTAAGGCAGCCTGCTGAGCCACCAGCAGCTGGGGGTCAGTGCTAATTGTGGAGTCAACTGACCCAGGGGGCTGGCAGGTAAGGCTAGGCCTGATTGGAAGAGGGCTGGGTTTAGACTGGGTATAAGCCCAGACCCTGAGAGTAGGGCTGGCAGTAACATCTTGGGAGCTGATGAAGGAACATCACAGCAGGAAGGCTGCTGCTCCTGAATGGAAGCAAGGAGAATAACATCCAGAGATTTGCATAGGAACTAAGGGGATGGAAGAGATTCCTGGGGAAACCAATATGGGGGTCCAGAGCCCTAAGAAGGGAGCTGAGTGCACAGGGGCCTATTGAGAAACCAAATGAGTCCAGCCTATTTGTCCACTTCTAAAAAACCCGTGGATCCAGCCCACCAAGTCACTCATTGGCCTCCCTTAGTCAGGGAGGCCACAGGAAAAAGGGACAACAGAGTTTGTGGGACAAAGAATGAAACAACAAGGATGGAAGTGCAGATCAGAGGTTCAAAACAGGCGTGCCAAGTGGGGACACAGAGCAGAGTACGCCAGACAGCACCCACTCGCCCTCAGACAAGCTCTAGGAACCAGGAGACACTGCCCAGTGATACTCTGTTTAGAGATGGGAGAAAATCAAGGTGAGGATAGTGGCCCTGCAGTCCCCAGGGCCAGATAAACCCAGAGAGAGAGGGTCTGGGTGCACAGGGACCTATTGAGAGGCGAGGTGAGCCCTGGGAGAGGGGCTGAGTGTTTGGGAGACCTAATGAAGGGTCTCGGTGAACCCACTGAGTGGGACAAAGCATGGGGGCCTATTAAGGGGTCCAGATGTGGCCAGAGAAGGAAGAGGCTATGTTAGGGAAGACCTATGCAGGACTCCAGGTGAGCCCAGAGAGAGGGAGTGATCTACGGAGGGACCTACAGAGACAAGGGGACTGACAGCTGGAGGACTGACCCTGGGAATCTCAACTGACCTGTGCAGGGCCAGGACCCAGGAGGGGCCAAAGGGTGAAATAGACTATAGCAGAGACTGCCAGAGTCAGGATAGCCTGGAGTTCTCAACTGGCCTGAAGCAGGGCCAAGGCCTAGGAGAGGCCAAAGGTTCTTGTGTGACCACAGCCGAGAGGAAGGGGTCAAGGGGCATGCAGCACAGGATGAGGATGGCTGGCTCTCAGCCATCTGATAAAGGAGGGATCAATGAAAGAGGTCTGAGAGAGACCTGGGGGCCAGAGATGGAGAACTCGGATGGGAGATGGAGTCAGGGACGGGGACGGGTGGCTAACAGCCCAGGAAGGGTGTAGGACATCTAGGGGAAAGCCTAGAGAGGGACTTGTAAGATCAGGTAGGCCTGAAGACTGGTTCTGGGTAAGACCTGAAACTGCACCCTACTTGGGCTGGTTTGTGTGGTGGGGCTGTCTGTGGTGGTGCAGCCTCCATGAAATACCACACATGGGTCACTGCAGGGAAAGGTGAGGATGGAGTGCTGGAAAGCCTCAGCTCCCACTGCCTTGTGGGTTACCCCATGGAAAGGGAGGGCTAGGGGTGCATACCTGGATAGAAAAGCACTTGGTCAGGGAACACCGGGACCACATGGGTCCAGAGGCCCAGCAAGGGGCCAGGGAACAGAGTGCAGGACTGGATGGATCCGAGGGCCTAGAGAGTGGCTAGGGAAGTGGAGAATTAAAAGGGTGCAGGACAAAGGACCAAAAGGGGCTGGCAGTCTGGAGTGGGGCTGGGAGGGAGACAGAGGGGCCTGGTAGCCAAAGGAATGGTTGTGCGAGACCGAGGGGTCTGAGGACCCAGAGAGGGGCTGGAGGAGAGACCAAGGGGTCTGGCATCCCAAGTGGAGCCTAGAGGGAGACCAAAGAGTCTGGCAGCCCAGGAAGGGGCTGTGCAGCGAGACAGAGGTCTGAGGGCCCAGAGTGGGGCTGAGAGAGGCTGAGAGGTTGGAAGGCTTCAGCAATTGGTAGAACATCTGTAAGGATGCCATCTGCGAGGCATTGGGCATGGTGTAGGCAAGGTACAGAGCCATTCAATTGGCCCAGAAGGCCAGGACCACAATCCGGGTGGTCACTGTAATAAGACCAGGGCAGCCTCCCACACTCTGTGTATCAACTAACATCAAGACGTGGCAAAGAGAGCTAGGCAGACTACCCATAAAACAGGGGATCTCAAAAAAAAAATGTGGGCACCCCATTCCTAAATCCATGCTGTAGCACATGCCAGGCCCCAGAGGTGGTTGTGACACCCCCTGGTAGCCACACTGCACCTGTCCCACTTTGACTTTACAGGTACCCTCCCCTTTCTGTTGCTTGCTATGCCTTGATGTAATTGGTTAATTTGTAAAAAGGGAGGCTGCCTGATATTCCCTGAACAAGTCTTTGTCTATCTGTCAGCCTGCAGGTCCCTCCTGGACCCTGGTGGTCTCAGTTTTGCCCCTTAAGCACTAGCTGAGCCTTTCTGGCCCATCCATGCCCCCTGGGCCCTAACTGCCTTAAGTTTGTGGCCACCAAATGCCCCTGTAGCTATGCCCATCCCTTCCCTCAGATGTTACCACTCAATCACTGTCCCTTTGTTGGGGCCTTGGCCTCTGCCCCTTTCCTCTTGCTGGGCCTCTTAGCCTAAGTCCATTGTACTGGACATGGCTGCTGGGCTCCAACCTCTGCCCTGCTCCCCAGCACTGAGCCTACTGTGATGCTGTCTCCACTTTGCTCCCAGGCCTTTTGGGACCTCCATCACCTCTTAGTCCTGTCCAAACCACCAGATTACCAAATTCTAACATAGGACTAAACCTTTAAGGCTATAATTCAAACTCCCCACTCAGAACACAAACACCAACTTGGATGTCTCTCAGGACTGCCTACCCAACCCTGGGTCCCATTCCCTTGCAAGTCAGCAGTAGTGTACTTGCAATAGTCCTAGGTTAGCCCAGGTATTAGCCACAAACTCATTCCTCTTCAGCCTCCAGGGCCAGACTGCCTGCTAGGCTCAGACCCCGGGCTTAAATACTCCCTAAGCCTGCACCCTTCTAGTCAGGTGGCTCAGCAGCCACATACCCAGGGGTATTCAGTCTGAGCCTAATGACCTGCCTGCCTTCTCTTGCTGCTGCTTATAGCTAGCCTCAGACTGTCTACAGGTGTACTCTTTGCCTTGATGGGCAGCTTACTGCCTGAGCAGCAGCATTCCCTACAACCGCCCTTCTTACAACTGGCCCCTATTTAGCTGCCTGGGTTCAAGCTACTCCAGTCTCTCTCTTACAGTAACAGGAACTCTACGCTCCTTGTTACAATGCCCACTGACTGCTTCCAATGAGGCGCCAGTTCAAGCAATCAGCTGAGAGGTCATATCCTTCTGGCAGGGCAGGGAGCAGAGCTGGAGGCTGCCTGAGTGAGTAGAAGGACTCTGTTTGCTGCTGCTCATGTCCTGGTCAGCCTCTGCTCTACCTATCTTCAGCCATCAATCTGCTGCTCCCCAGAGGTAGATGCTTTTCCTGATGGTGCCAGCATTTGGGGCTTGAGAGATGGCAACTCTAACAAGGGCTGTGAAGAGGCAAAGAAGGGGACAGCAGCTTACACCAGCTCACCTGAAGGGACCCCTTATTCCTCCTGAAGCTCCCCTTGTTTGGGGCCTTTGCTAAGTTGGGGTGGGAAAACCAGCTGCTCTGGTCTTGGCCTGGGCTGGGCTTGGCCCCTCCTCTCAGGAGGGCTCCAGCGCTGGCTGTCCCAAGAGCAGTAGGGGAGTGGCTGCTTGTAGCCCTTCTTGCCTGATGCTACCTTTCTATTGACAGGGCAGCCAAGCAGCGCCGGAAGGGCGATCGCATTGTCATAGATTGCCAGGAGCAGGCCTACTGGCTGGTCAACCGGCCCCCGGTAAGGCTTGCCTGAGGGAGGCTGTGAGGCCTCAGCCCCGTCAAGTGTGACCATGCTGGGGAGGAAAAAGGTCACCCTATAGAAGGGCCTGCAAGGGTGGGAGAGCTTCACTCAGGTGTGTGCAGGTGGGGCAGAGATCCATGCTGGAGCCCTCCTGAGTGGACCCAAGTCTGTGGTCAGTCTGCTGGTGCTGAGCTCCTGTGCATAGTGGCACCCCACCACTCCCTGGGGACAGACAGATGGATAAGGCAGGCATAGCAGGAGCTCTGGCTGGAGCCCCAGGCTCATGGGGAAGGGACTCAAAGGCATGTTCAACTCTTTGCACTCTTGTTGAGCAGCAAGGACCTGGCAGTTCCCCCGGCATCCCAGCCTCAGTGCAAGCACCTTCCCTAGCTTCTAACCAGGGATCCCCTGGTGGCATGCAGCACCCACCCCTGGCAGGCTCTGCCTCAGGATGCAGTTTTCTTGGACTGACACTGCCTGCTGGCAACCGCATCCTTGCTAGGCAGTCAGGCAGCTCTTCACCCCTCCTTTCCCCTCCCCCTGTGCCAGGTGGGGAGATGTGGAGGGATGGATGAGTTGGGTGAGGAGGCAAAGAGTAGGAAGGGGGCAGCTAGTCCCCTCTGCAGTTCTCTGGTGTCCAGAGAATGCCTCTAGCTTGGCACCATTCATCTGTGGGGCAGAGGGGTTGCAACTCTGCCCCCTTCCCTCTATCAGAGACCTGGGGCATAAGGGTGTGGCTGCAGGTGTACTCAGAGCAGGGGCTGGGGCAGTGTCTGCCATCTCCTACACTGTCTCTGCCCCCACCTGCCCATGCCAGCATGACAGTTGGCTCCCAATTACAGCTAATGGGCCTTTCTCTCCTAATCCCTTCCATCCCTGACCCAGCCAGCTCTACATAGGGTAGTAGGGACAGGGCCAGTGCAAAGGGCCATGGCTCACCCTGTGCTGTCTCCCAGGGAGTTGCCCCCAGAGCATGGGTATGGATCCATCTGTCCTGGGCCCAGGCAGGGTGTGTTCAGCACTCCAGGAAGACAGTCTGGCTTCAGCAGCTTGTCTCAGTCTGGTGGCTTCCTCTCCATCCTGCAGGAAGCAGCCCTGCCTGGCCACCCAGCCATGTGATCCGCACCATCCTGCTGCTGTGTACCCTGCTCCTGTTTTTTTGTGGGGGGAGCTGTGGCCACACAGCCATGCTGTCCTGCAGGCTCCCAGAGCGGCAGTGTGCGTGGGTGGGCATCCCCTGTGGGACAGCACCAGCCCAGTGCAGAGTGTGCCAGCTCAGGCCACAGTCAGAACCAGTGCCCCTACCCTGCCTGTCCCCACTATGTCCTCTGCCTCTGCAGGGAGGAGATAAGGGCCCTGGCTATAGCAGCCCTTGTGGGGTCTGGCTGGACCCAAGGAACATGCATTGGGTAAGGGGCTGGCTGCAGCCCATCCTCCATCCTGATCCAGGCTCGGTTCTTGTTCTTTCCTGTGCAGCCAGGAGCCCCAAATGTGATGGAGCATGGGCTGAAGCAGAGGAACTGCCACACCAGCCGAGTGCAGCTCGTAAGTGTCCTGCCTGGGGATGCCGTGGGTGGCACAGGAGTGCTTGGTCCCCACTCCTGCAGCACTCCCCCTGGCCTGTCTGTGCACAGAGCTTCCAACCCTTTCTAGTGAGGCCACTGCATAGGCCAAGAGATCTGCCCTCTCTGCATGCACATCCTAGCTCATCCTGGTCCTACTTGCTCTGGGCCCCTGTGGGTATCCCAGACATGCAGGCCAAGGCAGCGTGTGCCTGCTGAGCCCTCCCCCAGATCCTAGTCCCACCAGTCTCTGCACTCAAGTGTCCTTGCTCTGTGGCCCATGGTGCAGTGCTAGGTGGGCTGCCCCAAGCCCAGCAGGACATGCTCTTGGTCCCAGGGTGTGATGCTGTCTGATAGCTCTGGTTCCATTACTGCTGCTGTCCCTGGGGTCAAGAGAGTCACCACTAACTCTGCAGATTAGTCCCCTGGTGTGTTAGCATCCATGTTTCCTATTGCTCCCCCTGCCTGGTGTCTCGAATCTGTCTGGTTCCCTGTGTACCATTTCTGTCTGCTCATCCTCAGCTCTGAATAATGTGCCATTTGCCCCCAAGCATCTACACTTCCTTCTGGGAGCTCTGCAAGTTTGCTAGGCAGAGCAGTCTCTGGGAAGGAGCCTTCCCCACAGCACTCGGTGCCTGACCAGACTGCCTTGCTGCGATGCCAGCTCTGATAGTGGCTAATGGTTGGGCAAGGGCAGAGGCCAGTTCAGCCTCTATAGCACCAGGTGGTAATGCTGGCCCTGGCACTCTTCAGCTGCTAGTCTGTCCTGCTGTACCCCCTCCATTGCTAAAAATGTACATGATCTGGGCATGCCTTCCCCGAGGGCATTGCAGAGATCTGCTGCAGCAAGAGGAGAGCATATTGGTCCACATGGCTTTGGTGTGTGCAACGACCTCAGCAGGGCTGTGCGTCTTCTTTCCATATTTAGAGTGGACCACATGCAGCCATGGCCTCAGGCTAGTGATGCCAGCCTGCACTGAGGTGCTAGCAGCCATTCCCTGGGTTGGTGGTTACCAGGCTGTCAGCCAAGAGCTCTCTGGATTGGCTTGGTGGGCTTGTGCAGCCAGTGTGACAGCCGAACAGACAGGCAGAGTAGTGAACCCTGGGCTGAAGCAAGGGCAGCCTCCAGCCAGGAAAAGCCGCTTAGGCAGGGGTTGAATGCACATGGCTGGCCTCCTGGCCACTGGCCCTGCTTTTTCTGCAGCCCCTAGGAAACTCCTCTCTTTCTGTGCTGGCATCGCTAACACAGTCTGTTGGCTGCTCTTATCTCCCCTGTCTGTTGTGCTGGCTCCTTACTAACTGCTGGGTTCTGTTTTTCTTCTGTTCTCCTGTGTGCCATCTTCTGCCCAAGTAAGTGTCACTAACCTTTGGTTCCCCATGACGGGCTTGGGGGGCAGCAGGGTGGGGCATAGACATGCAGACTGGCAGCAATGCCCAGCAGTTAGCAGGGAACCAGGAGTCCTGGGCCCCTGCTAGCTGGTGTGTGAGATGGCTGGGCATGTCCTCAGGGCTTTGCCTGGTAAGTGGCTTTTTGTTGGTGATGGCTGGCTGTGGGGGTGAAGGAGTCTGCCAGGGGCTCTTTGTCATGCACAGAGTGGCAATGCTGAAACAGGACCTGGGGCTGCCCTTGATCCCCAGGGCTGGACAGCTTCAGGGGCACCAACCCTTGGGGCAGCACCCTCCTGCCAGTGCCCTACTTCATCCCACAGCTTCCAGGCTGTCCTTTGCAGACAGCCCTCATGCTGGTGCGAGTCCTGGTGGTGAAGCCCCTGCTTTCCCTTCTTCCTCCCATGTGTTCAGGAGTTTCACTGCTTTCTGCAGGACCAGGGGAGGAAGCTATAAGCTGTTGTGGGATCCTCCTGCTGCAGTCCTCTGGGTGGCCTGGCTGAGTAGCCTGAAGCTAGAGGCTGGGAACTCAGGGTGTTTGGCCCAGGGGTTCCATAAGCAGGTCACAAGGCAGCAGGACGCTCCAGCACAGTGGAGTGTGGAGAGGCTTCCCTCAGGACTGCGGCCGTTTCCAGCCACCCTGGTCCTGCTTATAGAGAATCTCCCAGGACAAGGCCTGTGCAGCCCAAATCCCCAGAGTGCAGCTTAGCTGCAAGCAGAGTAGAGTATGGGGCCAGCCAGCCAGCTGCCCTTCTGGCCCACAGCTCCGCTCCAGGCTGCCTGTAGTACCAGGCATGACTCCAGGTACCTCAAATGGAGTTTGGACCAAAGGACTGCAATTAGGGTAGGTGAGGGTGGAGACTGGGTGCGCAGAGGCGCAGGGGAGTGGGTGTGTTTATTGTAATGAGAAGTGCGGGTTTTTAATGTGATTTTTAAGATGTGTGATGGAAAGTTTATGATAGAGGATGTGTATATATGAACTCTCTCTCTCTCTCTCTCTCTCTCTCTCTCTCTCTCTCTCTCTCTCTCTCTCTCTATATATATATATATATATATATGTGTGTGTGTGTGTGTGTATGTGTATGTGTATGTGTGTGTGAGTGTGTGTGTATATTTTTTTTTTTTTAAATAAAAAAAAAAAGTACTGTGGGGGAGAGGCAGCTGGGACCTGCATGTATTGAGCTCTGCACAGTTCCTTGCGGGTTAGCACATGGGACCAGGCAACTGAGCCCTGAAATGCTGGGGCCGACAGCTGCCTGGTCTGGCTGGGTGCTGGGCCAGGGCTGTTGGGGCCCGGACATGCTTATGCAGGGGCTGCTGTTGCTGGGCTCTCTCACCCCTATGCTTGTCTCTTCCAGACCAAGAACATGGATTATTACAAGCGGGAGGTGAGTATGCAGGACAGGGTCTGGCCATGGAGGCAGGTACAGCTCCCCCAGGCCTCCGTTCAGGGCTGTGCTGGGGCCTCCTCCCTAGGAGCACACTCAGTGCTGGGCAACTGGCAGAGTGGGGAGCACTGGTCACAGTGCCCTGGAAGCATACTGCCCACCTGCAGAGGCATAGCAGCACCTCAGGGCGAGGGGCCTAGGTGGGAATGTGGGCTGGACAGGAAAGGCAGAGCAATGAAAAGGTCTTGGCCATGGGCACACACAGGGTTAGCTCCAGCTCTTACTGTTACCATGATTGGACAGTGGCATAACAGCTGGCAGCACCCATCACAGCCCCTCCCCAACCAGTGTCAGTGCCCTGGGCCCCAGCGGGTGGGTGCCACAATCTTCCCTCTTACCCTGTTGTCCTGTGCCGGTCTCAGATCGAGTACTGCCGAAAGGCCATGGGAAGAACCAGGGTCAAGTCTTCCATTTGCCTGGAAGGGTAAGTTGTCACCTGGGGGCCTTGGGGATCTGAACAGTCACTTGCCTGCATTTCCAGCCCTTGTTTCACTGGACTGGCCCTGCCAGGCATCAGCGGTTTCTCCCTGCTTTTCAGCAGCAGCTCCTGGCCCTGGGGTGGGGCAAGGGGCTTTGTACTGGGGGTGGGGGCTACACACTCTGAGCTGATGGAGCATGATCCTCACCATCTCAGCACGGTCCCTGCAGGCATCTGCTCTGCCCTCTGCCCCACTGTCATGGTGATTGTGACCTGGTCCCCACATTGTCCTGTACTCCAGTAGCACTGCTCCAGGCTTATTCATGTGGCTGCACTGTCTGAGCCCGTTGCAAAGTACTGAAGCAGGATGTGAGGCTCTGTGCTGGAGAGCAGCAGGCTCCACAGGGAGGGGCTTTGAGAGAATCCTGCCAGCAGGAGATTGAGCACAAAGCACCCTCCCTCACAGCACTGTGAGGTCTTGGCCAGCTGGCACCACAGCTCTGGAAAACCTGGCTTAGATCCCTGCTCTGTCCCCCAGGGATCGCTGAGAACTTGCTCCTTCCCACAACAGGATCCTCAGCTGGTGCCAGTGCTTTTCAAAAAGATCCTTAGGGTTCAGGGGTGGGAGTGTTGGGAGAGAGCATATGCACCATGGAGACCAAGCTGGTGAGGGGGTGGGCCATAGCATTAGTCCTTGCTAGTGAAGCCTGTTAAGGCACAAGGCAGAGGCATGCTGAGCCCTGAGGGTAGACCTTGGGTCAGTGAAGTAAGGTTACTAGACCATGTGGGGGCAATATGCTGTGCCCTTAGGGGTGGGGTGTTAAGGGGCTTGTGGCTCAGGAGTAGGGCTCATGCTGTGTCCCAGGGCTGGTGGTGATGCAAATGAGATGGGAAGAGGGCATCGCAGTTCCTCTTCTATGGCAACGCTGGTCCCAGTGCAGACCTTTCCTCTGGCATGGGCCCAAGATGCCAGCACGTTGTGCAGCCAAAGCAGTAAGGACCTGGTCTGTTCCACAGACTCGCTGGTCACGTTCTCTGCACCTCTGCCAGTGCTGGTCCTTGGCCTGTGCTGGGAGCCATAGAGCCCAGCTCCCAGCCACTCATCTCTCCCCTGCCTTGGCAGGTACGTCAAGTTTAACGAGCAGTATGTGCCCCATGATCCCATCATGTCTGGCTGCCTGCCCAGCAACCCCTGGATTACAGATGACACTACCTACTGGACAATGAATGCCCCCACGTAAGCACCCTGTGGGCTGAGCACCTGGCATGTCCCTTCATCCAGTCCCTGGCCCTGCCATAGCCACTGGTGGTAGCAGTCCACCACAGTCTGCTTGCAGAGGTCGACATTCTCCCACCTGTCTGGCTCTGATGTGAAAAGCTCCAGCCCCAGGTTGGCTGCCTGTCCCATGTTCCTACCTGCCGTAGGTAGCAGCCAATCATGGTTGCTGCAGGAGACAGGCAGACTCTGCCCCAGGAGCCAGAGGAACATGGTGGGTCCCTTCAGTGCAGGGCAGACAGGAGCTCAGGGGCGTGGGTTACTCTTGTGGCCCCTGTCCTGCTAGCAGAAGTGGGATGTCAGCACTGCTTTCCCAGCCCCCAGAAAGTAACGTCCCTGAGGTGGTAGCTAGGAGTGTGGCTGTCCCAGTAGGGCTCTGCTAAGCACCAGCCTAAGGGGCTGAGCTGCCTCTGGGCTTTTGCCCCTGCTTGCCTCCATGTGTGAACTGATCTCCAGGGCCCTGCAGGCCCCTGGCTCCCTGGGCTGATGGGAACTGCTCGGGGTGCCACAGCTGGTGACTGCAACTCTCAATGCCCCCACTGCAGAGTGATGACTCCAACCAAGTTGCGTGTGGAGCGCTGGGGCTTCAGCTTCAGCGAGCTGCTAAGTGATGCACTGGGCAGGGCACAGTTCATGGAGTTCCTCAAGAAGGAGTTCAGCGGTGAGTAAGCAGCATGTCACACCCCACCCCCAGCACTGCCACGGTGTCCCAGGTTGGAAGGCACTGGTCCCTCCCCCCGCTTCCCCCCCGCCCCCGCCTGTGCCAGCTCCTGCAGCCTGTGCTGCTTGGGGAGGTCCTGCCTGGCTGCTAGGCAGGGGCACAGCCCGGCACAGCAGATCTGTTGGCTTATAGGGGTGGCAAATATTCCCCTGCCATGGGATACCCTGTGCAGGAAGTGCTTGGGTGAAGCACTGGCCTGCACAAGGCACAGGATAGGTAGGGCCCTGTCCCAGGAGGCATCACCAACATCATGTGGGCAGGACCATGCTCTCCTGCTGGCCTGACAAGGGAGTAGGTCTGGCCCAACACAGCCAAGTGATGTGCCAGGTGGGGCCCTCCTGCTCTGCCCCATGTTTTCCACCTGCCTGGAGAAAGGCCCCTTCCATGCAGCTCGAAGCACTTGTTCACGGTTCCTTGGGAGGAACTCTTCCTGGGTTGTGTTCTCACTCACCCATGGTTTGTGGGCACCTGTGCCCTGGCCAGTGCACTGTGGACCAACCAGGCCTGTGAACCTGGTTGCTGACCAGGCAGGAGCATGCTCTGCCTTGCCCAACATCATCTCTCTGTCTCTTCCCACCAGCTGAGAACCTGAGCTTTTGGGAGGCATGTGAGGAGCTGCGGTATGGGGAGCAGTCCCGCATTGCTGAGATCATGGACTCCATCTACCAGTGAGCCTCCCATCCCTCCCTGGCCTAGCTTCCATGTGTATTCTGTTAGGGACAGGTGGGGTGCTCTTCCCACACAGTCAGCATCTCCCAGCACAGCACAGTAGCAACAAACCCACTCCACAGGCACATCCCCATGACCGTGGTAACTGGGCCACCCCATGTGGCTGCCTGGCCCATGTTCCTGCATTCTGGAGAAACACAGGCAATTGCGGGTTACTGCAGGTGGCAGGCAGACTCTGCCCCAGGAACTAGAGAAACTAGGGGGTCCTTGGCACAGGACAAACAGGGACCTCAGGGGCTCAGAGGACTCTCTGGCACCTGTCCTGCTAGCAGAGGGTGGGCAGCTCACTGGTAGCTGACAAGAGGAAATCCCTTGGGGATCAGGTCCTTCCTGGGAAGACCTGTTGCAGCAGGAGTGGAGGGCACAGCCCTATCTCCCATTTGCTTCTGCCATGAATCTCAGGGGGTCCCAGCAGATTCAGGGGCCACATTCCCCCCTGAGGCAACATTGTTTCCTAGTGACCCCTGTCTAGTGGGGCCTGTGAAGGCACAGCCCCTCCTTATGGCAAAGGCATGGCCCTGAACACAGCAAGGGGAGGCTGGCTCCTCAAGGCTGGACCAGAAGGTTTTGGTGGGGATCCTAAATGTGCAAGGGCATCCTGGTTGTGGCGGCCTACAGCAGCACTTTGGTTTATGTTTTGCATAGGCTGAAGCACCCTCCTTCTCACTACCAGTCCCATTGGTCTCTGGGCAGTCATGTAGGTGGGGGGAAGGAAATACTGGCACCTCCCCTTGGGGCCAGCACCCTGGGGCTCACAACAGAAGCCTCTCACTATCTCACCTGCTATATTCTTGCTGGGAGAAGTCATGCCAGGAGTGGGGTCACTGGAGCCAAGGCAAGGGCAATGCCCTCCTAGGGGGCCAGGCTGTTCCAGCCTGTCAGTCCTTCTCTGTCTATGCTGTGGCCCTGCTCTGCAGGCACTTCTTGGCCCCTGGTGCCACCCGGTGGGTGAACATTGACAGCAAGACCATGGAGAGGACCCTGGAAGGCCTCAAGACCCCTCATCGCTATGTGATGGATGATGCCCAGATGCACATCTACATGCTAATGAAAAAGGTGAGGCAGGATGCACTGGGGCATGACCCCTTCCTCACAGCTGCCTGGCCTAAACATGGGTATACGCGCTAGTGCTGAGGTGCAGCAACCTGCATTACTCCTCGTGCCTGGCTGGATGAGCCCATGTCAATGCTGATTAGTGCCAACAGACAGAAGAGTTACACCCTGTGTAGAGTGGGGTGAGCAGCTCTCCCCTCCAGCCTGTGAAACACTGACCTCTCCCTCCTGAGCAGTTCTTACTGCTAGCTGGTTGCCACAGAGAGAGGCTGCACCTGTGTGGTGGGTCAGTCACCATAGACATGGGGATGTGCTTGTGGGTTGGGCTGGTTGCTTGTGAGGGGCAGCTCTGTGGTGCTCCCAGGCCCTTCAGCAGGTGGCTCAGTCAGGCAGACTGGACTTGCCTAGCAGAGGGGGTCTGTGGCTAGGGGGAAGGGCAGGCTGCACATGCTGGGCCCGGCCTCCAGTGGCAGGAACCCAGGTGTGATGCATCACCACAGATCACCATCTATGACACATGAGAAGGATCAGCTTGGGACAGGGTAGCTTCTCTACAGCCTCCTGCTTTTGGCCTGTGCTCAGGCCTGTGTGTGCAGGCTACACCATCCCCTCATGGTTGTTTGCCCCCAGGACTCCTACCCACGCTTCCTCAAGTCTGACCTCTACAAGAGCCTGCTGGCTGAGGCCATCATTCCTCCTGAGACCAAGAAGCGGTGAGCAGAAGCCCCTGTCCTATGTGTGTTGGGTGCATCCTACAATGGCTTGTTTCTGGTTGCAAGTGGCTGTGGGGAGCACTGGGGAAGCAGGGCTAAAGCACATCAGCACCCTGCACAGTGCCCTCAGCCCTGCTCTGTGCTCCCCTGACCCCACCCACACTGCATGCAGTGTGGGCACTGACTGTTCTCTTGATCTCCTGCCAGGGTGTTTCCATTCATGCGGAAGCAGCGACACTCAAGCCCTAGCCCAGCCCTGCTGCTGCTGCCTGGGGGTGAGCCAGAAGCCAAGGCAGAGGACAAGAGCAGGACCCCTGTGGCTGCTCCTGTTCCTGAAGAGGAGAGCTAGGGCCCCTTGCCTCGTGGTCCTCACTTGGTCCCTCCACCACCTACCCCACTCATTCCCAGGCTGAGCACTGGCCTGTGGCTGAGAGAAAGAATGAGGTGCCTTGCACGAGCCAGGCTGCACAATGCCCATCCTGTTTTTTTTCTGATGCAGCACCTAGAGCTTGGAAGCTGTGGGGCAGGTGGCTGCTCTTGTATGTCACCCAGCCCCTCCCTCCCTCCCTCTAGGATGAGCAGCATAGGTTTGGAGTGGTCTTGCACACTCCAGGCTCCTGGCCCATGATGGGGAATGTGGTAATTTCCTGCCTCTGCTCTGCCTGTGGCATGACCTGGTACTCTGTGCGCAGGGGGTTACTGCTGATCATCAGTAGGTGCCAGGGTGTTCAGAGTGGTGAGCCTTGCTGAAGCCAGTGTTGTTACTGGTGCCCTTGTGCTGGAGGAGCGGTGACTTACCAGGGGGCAGGGCAGGGCAGGGCAGCTCTCTGGATCCTGAGTGTTTGCATAAATTTAGCCTAGGACAGACACTGCCTGCTACATTCCCACCATGTCCTGGCACCCCTGTGCCTGGGCAGCAGGTAAGACAGCTCTCAGATCCCAGTACAAACCATCTCAGCCTCAACCCCCCAGTCATCCTGCCTGTGCTCCTGCCCCAGCATCATTTTTCCCCCCCTCCCCCATCCCAGGCAGTAGCCTGGCCTCTACTGTAGGACTTGCTCTTCCATGACACTAAAGGAAAGAAGCCATATGCCCTGAGGTCTTTGTGCATGGTTCCGCTTAGCCCATGCTCTGTGTCCCAGGCTACACCCTTCTCTCTCTGCCTTGGTTCTGGCCTGGGCATGTATCCTCTTAATCCTCCAGCTGCCCCTAGGCCACTGCCTTAGGTAGCTCATGGTGCATAGCTGCAGATTTGGGAACTAGCCTTCACAGCCCATTTTGCTTCTCAGAGGCTGGGTGAGTCCCCTGCAGGGAGTCAAGCTCAGGTTTCCATTGGAGGAAGGGGCAGGTTCCCCCCTCAGATTAACCATCCCCTGGGCCATGCTGGTCTACTCCAAGAGCAGCCCTTGCTAGCTACTGCCCAGCCCCTGCTCCCCTTGCAGAGGTCCAGTCTGGGCACTTGTAGGCATGATCAGTCCTGCAGACAAGTTGGGCGGGGGGGCTGGTACTGCATAGGGAGCCCCCTCTTCCCTCCACCCTGCTCACTGTTACACTAAGCATATGGAATCAATAAAGGACCTTGTGGGAAACTGTGTGGGCTCTTCTGGTGGCAAAGGCTGGTCTGAGGGTAGTGACAGGTGCAAGAGAAAAGGGGACATGGCTCATTTGCAGGCGCTTTGCTTCACAAAAGTGGTGTTATGGTTTCCCAAGTAACTGCTGTTCCTCCCTCCTGCATGTCCTCCTCAGCCCATTTTGATCTGAGATCACCTGCCATTGCTTTTCTTGGGGCAGAACACTTTGCTCTGTTCTTACAGGCCAGGTCCATAGGCTGCAGCTTCTGCAGTTGTTGGGGCCTCCTCAGCAGGGGAGATGGCTCTGCGCTCTTGTGGCATGGGTGGAGTTCTGTAGTGAGCTGCAAGCTCTTGGGATGCACAGTAGGGCTGTGTGAAATTTCACTGGCCGTTTCATTTCAACACTTTCAACTCATTTCAAGGTTGAAACAGCAAAATTGAAACGAAACAAAGGGTTGTGAAACAGCCTCAGAACAAAATGAGGCTAGTCAAAACATTTCAAAAGTCAAAATGTTTCGACCATAGCACTGGGGAAATGAACTCGGCCCCCGATTGGGCTGACTTCCCATCCCCTGTGCTAGATCGCCCCGGGGTCGGGGAGTCAGCCCGGTTGGGCTAACTCCCTGTCCCCAGGGCAATCTAGCACCGGGGGATGGGGAGGCAGACCAGCTGGCTGACTCCCCATCCCCAGCAAAACATTGAAACAGCCTTTCTGTTTTGAGGGAATGGAACAGCTGTTTTGAATCAAAATGAAATTTGAAACAGAACACTGTTCTGTCGAACCATCAAAACTCAAGGCGAAATGGAACGGTGCCGTTTCGCACACCCCTAATGCACAGCACCATGTACTGAAATCAAACAGGGTTCAGGGACAGCTGGATTTAAAATGGTAAGTGCTTCAGACCGCAATCAGTTCAGGTATAGCACCTTAGTCTGGGGAGCAGGGCCAAGCTTCTCATGCCTGTTAACAAACTGACAGCTGCAAGGGAGAGCTGCCCCTCTTTGAGGTTTGGGACATTCTCTAGTGTTGGCTTAGGGCAGGGGTAGAGCAGTGACCAGCCAGCTTCCAGACTCTTCCCACCCTGTATCTCATGCTGGCTGCCCAGGAGCAAGAGCTGCTGGCCAAACCCCATGGCCCTGAGCTGATCGTGGGCAGTATCTTGCCATGCAGGTCCTGCAGCACAGCCAGACAGCATCACTGGGTTGGAAGGCTTTAGAGTAGGAAAGGGCAGGATGACTTCCATTGCACCTGAGCACCTCCCCCTCAGCCATGCCCGGAGCCAGTGGCCAGCCCCAGCACCTCATCCCACCAGGGCCCTGGAGCTGGAAGGAGGCACTTAGAAACAAAGTTCCTCAGTCCTACCCCTGCACCTGTACCATCCTGTTGCCTGGCTGCAATCCCAATGGTAACCTCATGCTGGAGGAAGCAACCCCAGGCAGCTGAGGGACTTGCTTTGCCTGGCAGTTAAGGGGAAGAGGGACCAGGCTGTGCCAGGGCAGTGTTCAGGCCCTGCTGGTGCACCTATGAGTGAGGTTCTCTCCTCAGCCTGACCAGCTGGACTAAAATACCACAGCTGCACTGTCCAAACCTGCTTCTGCCTGGGCCTCCCAGGCCAGGAGCTGACCCAGAAACTGCAACCTGTGTATTGCTGCCTGCAAGAGCAGCTGGCAACAAGCCACTGTGAGCACCGCAGCAATGCAGGGCAGCAGCCTGCCCACTCCTGGGAGTAGCAGGGCACCCTGTAATCTCTGATCAAGTTAATGGCTGGGGAAGGTGCCAGCAAAGCACTTTAGCATCTGAATCTGCTCCAGTACAGGTTTGGGGTATTACTAGAACATCTGTGATGACACAGGAGGCTGTGTGGAGGTGTGGCCTGCTGGCCAAGGGAGGGGAGAGTGGGAGCAGGGGTTGGGGAAGGTATGCGGGATGGGCACAGAGCACTCGCACAAACCTGAGCAGACCTGAAGGCTCCAAAAAGTTCCTAAGGGTGAAGTCAGCACGAATCTCCCCATAGCTGCATCACCCTACTCCTCAAGAGGCACAGGACAATTTGTGCTCCCTGGACAAACCAGCTAGGCCTTATTTCTTCTCCCTCAGAGCACAGCCTAGCCCTTCACCTTCCACTGTGGGCCCTGCAGGGGGCAGGGTGCCTAGGCCTAGCAGGAGCAGCATTCAGCAGACAAATCACTGGGAAGCACATACCCACATGCCTCTGCTCTAATGTATATGGTCATGGGGCATGAATGCCTTTGGTGCTGGCCTCCTGGGTCTTTCCTGGGGACTTAGCTGAATTTATCCTAAGCCAGCAACGCCACAAGCATGGCCTACTTTGGCTGGGCTTGGCAGGTTGGGGTGGGGCAGACCCTGCCTCTGGCATGGCAGGGGCAGGGGCAGCCCCAGCTCTTTCCCCAGAGCCTCCCACTGCTGGCCCTGCCACGCTTCTGCACTGCTCACTCCATGCCTGAGGGGCTCGGCCCAAGCTTGCCCCAGCACTGACACAAGGAGGCCATTTGCTACCTCCATCCTGCCTCAGCCTTGCAGAATGCTTTCCCCCATGGGAGGCAAAGCAGTACCCACTCCCCTGCCCACCGGGGCAGTTCAGAGTGGGTGTGTCTACATGTGTGCATAACTGCAGTAACGGCTATTATTGCGCAGTCCCAGGGGCGCATGGCTTGTTTCCAACCCTGCTGCACAATAGTGTCGACATCATGGTTTGTGCCCACCGCCACTACATCGCTGTAGTGATCAGCCATGTCACCGTAGCTCATCACTATGGTAATATGACATCCCGTGTAGATGTGCCCACTGTGGCCTGCAGTGTTCACACAGCCGGAACATCATCACCTACACTGCCATGATGCTCAGGAAGAGCTGCGCTGTTCCTGCTCCGGTACCCCATGACCAGGCTGAGCCCACTTCAAACGCAGCAGCTGAGCTAGACAGAGCCTCTTGGGAATGTGCTCAGGCAGTGCTGCCACTGGGAGCTTGTGTGCACAGCCTGTGAGGTACCAGCACACACCTAGCACCCATAGACTGGGTGCCCCAGCAGCTCAGAACCAGGCACTGCTCCCAAATAGCCCTCTGCAGCCAAGGGCATGAGCATCTGCCTTGCTCCCTGCCCCACCCCCTCCCCAAAGCCTTCATCAGCCATGGGCTAGTACCCTTGTCTAGCATGCCTTGCTTCTGGGCCAAGGTTACAAGCCACCTGCCTTCCCTCATGCACTGCCTGGGGTGAAGAAGCTGGCAGTTGCGATGGCTCCACAAGGCACTGGAAAAGCACCCCCAAGAGAGAGCTGCACAACTGGGAGGGGGTAGTGTCCCTCAGCACTAGGTCTGGGGCTGACAGGGCAGCAACCAGAGGAGAGGGAGCATGGTCAGTGTCCCCTGTGCCCATCCAGCCTCAGGCCTTAGGACAGCATGGGGCTTTGGGGACGGCCCCTCGATGGTGCATAAGTAGGGTGCTTGGAGGCTTCCCCTGGGGTTGCTGGGCAGCGTGCCCCTCCATAGGCTGCTCAGCTAGAACTCTCACGCTCCTCAGCAGGCTTTGCAGAGCCCCCTGTTCAACAAGGGGAGCAGCCAGGGGAGCTGCTGCATCATGTGATTGCAGCACCGATTATACTGTCCCCAAGGAGCCTCTGTGTCTGCAACCTGCCTGCTATGTGCTGGTGCAAAGCAGTGCAGAGGCCTTCCTCCTTTCCCAGACTCTGACATGCCATAGGACTACATCAGAGGTCCCAGCCTGCACTTGATTCCCACTGCGTTCATGGGTACAGGAGCCCTGCAGCCAAGTGCTGGGGATTCCTTGTGCTGCCTGCCCAAAGGCCGCCATAGAACAGTGCTGCCTCCTGCCACACAGACCTGGATGGCTGAACTTTCTGTCAGTGCCCCTGGGCTGGCAGCCAGCTCAGCAGGGCTGGGACTGGCACGCAGAGGGCATCCCAGGAAAGCAGCTTTGTGCTGTAATGCCAGTGTAGGGCACACTGGCTCTGCACTTGTCCCTTTAATCGGACCAGATGCTGAGGCTTTCCTTGCTCATTCCCCAGCCCCAGCCAGGGTCCAGCGGCTGCGGGATTAGCGTGCACATTATATAAAATGCCAGCAGGGGTTCATTTTGGGCTGATCCCTATTAGCACTAGGCATTAACTCTCCACAGTGCTAAAGTGCAGCTGGAAGCAGGATTACATGACCCAGTTCCAGGCTGTGGGGTGGGGAGAACTAGAGGCCTCCAGGGACCACTTTGTCTGCCCAAAACTGTGGACAGCACTGCCTTTCCTTTGGCTACACATAGCCTGAGCAAATGGAGCAGCCCAGGAAGCTGAGATGTGGACATACTAGGATGGCACCTCCACCCCCTCTGCAAAGGGACCAGCCCCTGACTGTGGGTGGTGATGAGGAAGAAAGAGGAAGGCAATTCAGAGAGGGTAGCTCCTCCAACTTTGACCCTCATCCATGCTGGCATCTGGCTGATTGGGGCTGATGACTGGTGGCAGGGCCTGGGATCCAAAAGGAGGGTCTTTGGCTCTTGGAATGCAGGTGGTCAGGCTCAGTGATGTAGACAGGGGCTCACTATGTCTCTGGGTTCTCAGCCAGTCTGGGAGTTCAGCCATCCAGGGCTGTATGCCAGAAGGCAGCACAACACCATGGCTGCTTTTGGGCAAGCAGCACTAAGAGTTCCCAGCACTTGGCTGCAAGGCTCCCATACCCACACACAGCGGGAACCAAGGACAGACTGGGACCTCTGCTGCAGTCCCAGGACATAGCACAGTCTGGGAAAGGAGTAAGTCCCAGGTCAGGGCCTCTCGACTGCTCCAGTGATGCTTCTACCTATTAACCTTAAGCAACAAGATTCCTTCCCAGAGTAGGATGGCCCCCCAGTCTGGTCCTCAATGCACATGACACTGCCTTTACAGAGAAGGCACATGCTCCCAGGGGGCAGGAGAGGAAGCTGGGGTAGGACAATCTTGTTGCAGAGTGAGCACCGCAGACCTGGTGGCTGTGGTGACTGCCAAT